CGGTTGTTTGTTTTTAAAGAAAAGAAAAAGGAGCAATAGTGCATCTGAGGCAGGCGTGGCGAAAACTGAGTTAGAACTAGGTGTGGGGGTGCACACCTATAATCCTAGTATTTGGGAGGCTGAGGCAGGAGGATTTCCATGAGTTCAAGGCCAGCCTGAGCTACACAGTGAGAAACTGTCTCAAGAAAAAAAGAAAAAAAGAAATTGAGTTGGTATTTGAGGAGCAGGCTTAGGAGAACCTCACTAAAAGCCCCCTTCTCTCCCTGGTAGCAGGAGTGCTCAGGTAGGAGGCTGCTTGGCTGCCCTGGACTCATTCCCTTGATCCTTCACTTCCCCTGTCTAAGCCCCAGTTTCTTTATCTGTGAGACTGGAATAAAGAAGTCTATCCCTTTCATTATTATGCTAGCTTCCCCAAGGCAGACTATGCTTTCAGAAATTGCAGGGGGCAGAGAGAAGAGAAACCAGAAATACAAATGGTTGAATTCAGGGCCAGGGATTTAGCTCAGTGGTGCTGCTGCCCACAAGGTCCTGAGTTCGATCCCCAGTACCAAAAACAAATAAACAAATGGTTGAGTTCAGCAAACAGACACGAGGTTGTGAAGGGTGAGAGGTAGGACCTGCCTGTCTCTGCTGAAATCTCCAGTTAGTGTGAACTCAGGGCCCAGGGACAGGAGTCCTGGGGTCTCAGTATCCTGAGATGTGCTGGAGTCCTCTCCTATCCCGGGGCAGCCGACCCCGATGTAACCATCTGGGTGAGCCTCACGCCAGGAATGGGCAGGAGGGCTGGCTGGAGCTCGGGGCGCACCTGCTTCTCCACACCACCCATCATCATCTCTCACCTGCATGGAAGCCTCTGCCTCCTGCCTGGGGCCCAGCACCTGCCCTGAACCCTGCGCCAAGCTCCTCAGTTTGCCCATGGGCTCTCCCACGACTCAAATGTGACTGTGCCCACGTCCCCATGGAAGGTGCAGTCTTCTGAGCCGGGCAGTGACAAGCCCAGCCTGGGTGCTCTGCTGACAGCACAGGCTGCAGACCAGCAGGGAAAGCCAAGGGCAGGCAGACTGGAAAGCAGCACTGTAGCCTGGGAGAAGACAGAGGCTTCGAAACTCTGCAGTCAAACCAAGTGGTCAGTTACCCTACGCTTCTGATCCCTGTTGCCCTGTGTTCCCAGTCTTCTAGTTTCCAAGCCCTGTTCCAACAGCATCTCCATGTGCCAAGAAAGGCCTTGTGGGCACTGCCACCTTCATCAGGAACTTGGACAAATCAGTCCAGCTGAGCCGCCCAAGCACCCAAATGGCTGGGAGGTGAGGACTTTCTCTAGGCCAGCTGAAACAGCCCTTTCTCCTCCTGACCCCCCACTTCCGAGTCCTGGGCAATAATTAATGTTCTAGGAAAACTGCAGAGCCAGCTCCCCAGAGCTCCAGATCTAGTGCCCTGGAGGGTCCCAGGCAGGAAGGCAGTCTCAGCAGTCAGCAGTCAAGTAGACCACACCTGGACCTTCCTGCACCTCAGGCAGCCAGGCCGCCTTTGCTCACGGTGGGGTATAAATATCCATGCAGGAACGCAGGTGCAGGCTTATGCGCTCACACTGGCCTGTGTGTATATACCTCCCGCCATATCTGACTGTTAACAAGAGCAGTTAATAGCATTATTCACTATGTACAGGAAGGTCTGTTTAATCCTCACAGCAAGGCAGATTTTCACTATCCCTGTTTTATAGAAGAGGGAACCCATACAGGGGGAGGTTAAACAGCAGGCTCAAGGTCACCGATACGACTGGATTTGAACTTAGGTATTAAGAATCTAGGTTTCCAGACCCTAATACCACCTTCTTGAATAGGTGCTCAGCAAAGGTATAAAGAACTTGCATTATGTGATACAAATATGGCGGGGGCGGAGAAAGAGAGGGAGAGAGAAAGGGAAGGACCCCCAGCCTCCCCTGCCCCAGGTCAGCGTTTCCTGGATCGGCTTGTGAGCTTGTGTATCCACACACAAATAAGTGAGAAAAAACAAGATCTGACCTCTGCTGTTCCTCCGCTTGCTGTAGGGGCCCAGAGATGAGAACTAGTGAGACGGTCTTGAGATACCTCCCACATTCCACTGCTGGTCACCCATCCTGCACTCGAGGGTCTGGGCTTCTCCACCCCTGTAGCCAAGACCCCCAGTCTGGATTTGGGGACAGGGAGGAGAGAGTGCTAGGCCTGGCTTTCCCCATGTCTCCAGGCCCCCGTGTTTCCCATTTCCTGGGGTCACCTGTCACTCCAAGAGCCGTGCAGGGGTGTCGCCAAGAGACACTTCCTGGTATTTCTGCTCAAGCAGCCTTTGCTGTAAAATATGTCAAAGCATTTTGGCTTCAGTTTTCAGCTCAGAAGATGCCAATGTTTTCATTTGGAAGCGGAAGTGTTTCTGTCGATGTGGTAAGAAGATAAAATAAGACATTCTTTACCAAGTTACACTGTCTCAAAGTCAAGCACTTGGCTTGGGGACAGGGACTCATCTTGGGATCACCAAGGCCTAGCACAAAGGATGGCAGCAGAACAAGCAGGGCCAAGGTTTGCTGAATGACTGAATGAGAGATTATAGAAAGGGCCTAGCACGAGAAATAGTATATGGTCAGTAGGACAGATTTTTTTTGGTACCAGGGATTGAACTCAGGTCCTTGCGCTTGCAAGGCAGGCAGCGGAACAGCTGAGCTAAATCCCCGGCCCTAGTAGCACAGATTTTGAATGGATCCCAGAGATTCTACTTCTGACGAATGTTCTCAATCTGTTCCTCTTGCCCTGTGTCCAACGACCTGGCCTTGTCCCAAGCCTCTGCCCATAGAACAACTAGGAGTCTCCTCGCTGTCTTCTCTGTTTCGACACTTGCCCTTCAGCCCATTTTCCCGTGGACACCAAGGCTATCTTTGCAAAGGGTTAGTTGGATTGTGTCATCCTCTGCCTGAAACCCTCTAATCACCGCCCATTGTTCTTGGCCCTGGCCTTCCAAGTCCCACATAGTCGCCCTTGACTCTTCTGAGGCTGCTCTTCAGCCACACTGGCCTCCTTTTGATTGCTGGATGAGTCCACTCTCTCCCATCTCAATGTCTCAGATTGCAGCTGCCTCTGTCTGATGTGCTTTTCTCTGGCTCCAATCAATTTAGGGCTTAGCTCAAGTGTGTCAGCTCCCCACAGGGGCCTTCTCTGCCCCCTCCTCACTAAAACAGATTGTCCCTTCTTATTCCTTTATCTTCCCTATCACATTTTATCTTAGTTTTCCTCACTCTCTATAGAGCATCTAACAAGCGTCGAGCTGCTGAGGAAGCAGCAGTGAACCATAGGGGAAGCCCAGTCCTTCTTGCCTTCAGAGCTCTTGCCAACCCTCATGGACTTTTCAGAGACCTGCTAGTCTTCCTCACCACATGTCAGGAGGGCCAGGGGCACATGTCTTGCTCACTGTGTTCACTTCCCAGCATGGTACTGAACAAAAAAGTGGGTGGAAAACAGGTAGGCAAGGGCACCTGGCTCTTGACTCCTCATATGATCTCGTTGCCCTCAACCTTTCTTTCTTCAAAAAAAAATCTAGCTGTTGGTCTCTTAGGAGAGCTTCTGCCCCCGAGCATAGCTGCAGCAAGTCCTGCCCCACCCTGCCTCTGCAGTAGACTGAAGGTTTGAGTCCCTCAATTTCTAAATTCCTATGTTGCAACCCTGTTACCAGTGCGATGGTATGAGGAAGTGAGGCCTTGGAGGATGATTAGTTCATGAAGGTGGAGCCCTTGCAATGGCATTAGTGCCCATCTTACAAGGACTGTGAGAAATAAATGCTTGTTGTTTAAGCCACTCAGTCTATAGCATGCTGTCACAGTATCCAGGATTGACTGAGGCGCCTGCTGACTATGGCTATGTTGGCAATGACGAAGAACACAGCAGAGGGGTAAATAGCATCTGTTTATCACCACCTCGGCATCCCTTTCCATTGTTACTCAGGCTCCATGCCCAGCAGAACTCCAGCATCATTCAGCCACAGGCTCAGCCAACAAGTCCCTGTCTGCCTCATGACCCCTCCCTGGAGCTGACAGCTGCCCAACAGTCTTCCTGGCACCCATGTTCTAGCTTTCATTTTGTCCAGCTGCCTCTTCTCTTCTTCCTGCTCCTCCTCTTCCTTCTCCTCCTTCCTGGGTGACTTTGGCCACTCTTATTCCTGCTGGAACTTTCATCTTCCTGACTCTAACATGTAACATGGGCTAAACACACAGATCCCTGGTCAAAGCACACAGGCAGGACTTTACCACCTCATGCAACGATCCTGTGGTCCCTTCTCCTGATGACCCAAGAGGCTCTTGAGGATTTGCAAACACTGCAGACAAAGGCAGTCCAAGCACCTACTTTCACTTGCCTGTTCCATGAAGGGAGTCCGCAAAGCTGGCAGCCCCTGCAGATCTGAGTTGCGCAGCTGATGTGCTGGGGCACCCTGAAACCTGACTCCAAGGCAGCAGCAAATCCAAGGCCAAAAGAAGTACAAGCTTCTTTGCTGAAGCTTTCTCCTCTCACAGCCTTGGCTCGGAGCCCTGCACTCAATCCTGCCCCAGTCCCCTAGGGACCACAGTGCAAAGGTGACCAGTGCCTGGCTCCCTAACCCTTCTCACACCCCCAAGTCTTCCTACTTCCAGGACTACTGAGAATCCCCAAAGAGCCAAGGTCATCAAGAAGACAGGCTGAGACTGGTGGTGGGAGGAGCTGGAAGCTCTGCCTCAAATAGATTAGGGTGCAAAGGCTTTTTCTACAAGCCATGGGGATAAGTTCCATGGCTATCCTAAATGTAACATAGGCCCTGGGACCCGCTCCCTTTTCAACAGCTGTCCCTTCATTAGGGAAGTTTTCCAGCCCCAGCTGAGGGCATGAGAGGGGTCTGGTCATTCCTGGCGTCCAGCTGGATCCTGAGCCTGGGGGAGGGATGTGCATCTGGTGTGGGGCACATCCCTCTCCCTCACCCCAACCGACCCTCATCCCCAGGGCACTTACAGGCCTTGGAGGCCGGGGAGGGTCTTGTCCTGGGGGTCCCATCTCCATCTGGACGGCGTCCCCAACCAGGAGGGGCGGCATGATCTGGGCAGCTGGTCCAGGCCAAGGGTTACGGATCGCGGAGGGGAAGGGGATACAGCAGTTAAGGCCTTACTCCAAGTAACCATCGAAGACGTCGAGCTCTGAATCAGCATCATAGAGGCCAGAGCCGGGGTCGGAGAGCACGCCAAGGTCCACAAGCGCCTGGTCCAAGTCCTCGGGCAGGAAGACGAGGCCCACATTGAGGACGATGTACTCCATGAGGAAGGCGTAGTACAGGATCAGCACATTGACGAAGAACAGGCCCACGTAGAACATAGAGGGCAGCAGTGGAGGCTGCACGTAGGAGACCAGGGGGCCCAGAGAGTCCAGGTGGGCTGCGACCCGGGCGCCGGGCATGCAGGGAGCGGCGGGGGCG